ATGACAGATCGTGATGATTGGTTGGGAAATAAGAGATATGACAGATCGTGATGATTAGTTAGGAGGTATATAGGATATGACAGATCGTGATGATTGGTTGGGAAATAAAGAATATGACAGATCGTGATGATTGGTTAGGAGGAATTATAGGATAACAGATCGTGATGATTAGAAATGATATGACATATCGTGATGATGGGGAAAAAGGGATATGACATATCGTGATGATTGGTTGGGAAATAAGAGATATGACAGATCGTGATGATTGGTTGGGAAATAAGAGATATGACAGATCGTGATGATTGGTTGGGAAAAAAGGGATATGACATATCGTGATGGTTGGTTGGAATATAAGAGATATGACAGATCGTGATCATTGGTTGGGAAATAAGAGATATGATAGATCGTGATGATTGGTTGGGAAAAAATGGATGATGACATATCGTGATGGTTGGTTGGAATATTGCAGGCCTTGACAGTGGTTTGGGTTTGGTTATGTTTGGTTATGTTTGCACTTACAATACGGAGCAGTTGGTTCACCATCAGTCGTAATGAATCACGGACACGTTGTTTTTGTTTGACTTCATAGCTTTTTGTATGTCTTGGGCGACATCTTAAACTGAAAATATTATTATTGTGACTAAATTTAACTTAATTCTACGTTTAATGTAAGAAAAATCTCTATATGAAATTTTGACTATATATATATGACTTTTATATATGACTATATTAGCATGTAAATGATGTCTGGAATAGAATACAAAGTAGATGTGTTGACAGTGTAAATTATCAATTTGGCATGAATTAAAATACTCAAGACAGAGAAATATACTTTGATATCGGACATGCATTTGTTCATTATCATGTTGTTATTTCTAGTCATCTAGTCTTAGACTCAGATAATGAAAGATGCGGCAAAAGCCTTTACCGCTGGAATATCCGGATATTCGTACAAGCCTTGACAAGAGGGTAACATTGCACGACTGATATGTTTAACAGTTCTTACAGAAATAAAGAAAAAGTTCTCATGCCATGTGATAAACATGTATAAGAAGGAGTGACATGATTAACTATACTCATGCCAATAATAATTGTCATCCCCCTGCCCACCCAAACCCCCCACACACCTCATACCCCAACTCACACCCCCTCTCTAATTAAAAACATTTAAGGGGGTGTCAACCATTATTGGCATGAGTATATATCCAACCGAGTGGAGCTGTTCTTAGATTGTTTGTGACAAAAGTGCGCCTTGTGAATTGCATGTATAGCTATCACTGTTCTGGCATTGATTCGGGGCGGTAGGGTAGCCTAGTGGTTAAAGTGTTGGCTCGTCACGCCGAAGACCCGGGTTCGAATCCCCACATGGGCACAATGTGTGAAGCCCATTTCTGGTGTCACCCGCAGTGATGTTGCTGGAATATTGCTAAAAGCGGCGTAAAACCAAACTCAGTCAGTCAGTCAGTCTGGCATTGATTCACACGACCAAAATCACTTCCACGAGAATTAATCTTTTCACCAGTCCTGTTCCAATTGATATGTGATTAAATGTTATCCATTCTATGAACAATCATTAATATATTCAGTTTTATTTAAATGAATAAAAGGTAAGTAAAATACTATTCACAATAACATAACTGCATATTCCACGTATTTGAAATACGTTCATGTTGCAATTACAGACATCCTCTGACATTTGTCTAAAGGTAGAAAATCTGGTGTACGTTTGAAATGTTCAAACAAGCAGGAATGACATCATAAAACAGAATTCAACAGAATTCAAAACTACGATACATTTAGGAGGCATTCAGGAGTGTTAAACAACAAAGAAACCTGTAAGTCGGTTGAACGTGACAAAAATATTATCACCCCTTGAACGATAGTGGAGAAGTCTGAAAACACTTTACATTGACTCATATTAACTATATTCAAGGCAATTAGTGCATGACGAAATACATTCCTGTGGCATTCCAAAGGTGAACAATCCACTGCTTGTACAAATGCACATTCACAAACTACACCATGTATGGGACTATGTGGTAGTGAAGGGGTCGTTTCCCCACATGGGTACGATGTGGGAAGCATATATCTAGTGTCCCCTGTCGTGATATTGTTCGAGTATTGCCCATCTTATTAATAAACTACTCACTCTACAGCATGTGCACCATCCAGAGAGAATATATCATCACTTTATCTGTCACCCCGTCTCTCTTATTTCGCACCTCTCGCTTGCCTCATAGTTAAGATGACTCCATTGTACCAGCTACAGCCCACCCTAGCTCTCTGTCTGTCAAACAATATCCCCGCCCTCACACCTCTCTCTCTCTCCCTTCCTCTCCTCCCTCTCCTCTCCCTCTCCCTCTCTCTCTCTCTCTCTCTCTCCCTCCCTCTCCTCTCTCTCTCTCTCTCTCTCTCTCTCTCTCCCTCTCTCTCTCTCTCTCTCTCTCTCTCTCTCTCTCTCTCTCTCTCTCTCTCTCTCTCTCTCTCCCTCTCCCTCTCTCTCTCTCTCTCTCTCTCCTCTCCTCCTCTCTCTCTCTCTCTCTCTCTCTCTCTCTCTCTCTCTCTCTCTCTCGTCGTTCCTTCCTCTCTCGCGCCCTCTATCGCCCTCCCTTCACTAAATATCTCTCTCTCTCCGACTCTGCTGCAAAAATAAAAACATAATACACGAAAATATATCAACGCTTCTTTATATTCCTGTCTATGTCAAGTTGACAATATCACGTAGAAACACAATGTGGATATAAATAGAACAATAATGACATACGATTCGAGGTAAGATTTTGTGACAATCTCTCAAATGTAAACGTGACTTTAGAATATGTATATGAGAGTAAGTGTGTATAGTTTTACGCCGCATTCAGCAGAATTCCAGCAGGGTCAAGTTAGGCCATCTCGCAAATGGGTCAAATGTACAACAATGATATTGGAAAAAACGGCAAAATGTAAATACTGCATAATGAGAACTGGTAAAAAAATATACATATCAGAATTTTATTCGGTTCATTTCTACTACTAATACTAATACTACTACTACTACTACTACTACTACTGCTGCTGCTGCTGCTGCTACTGCTGCTGCTGCTGCTGCTGCTGCTGCTATGCTGCTGCTACTACTACTTATAATCATATAACGGGGCGGTGGGGTAGCCTAATGGTTAAAGCGTTGGCTCGTCACGCCGAAGACCCGGGTTCGAATCCCCACATGGGTACAATGTGTGAAGCCCATTTCTGGTGTCCCCCGCCGTGATGTTGCTGGAATATTGCTAAAAGCGGCGTAAAACCAAACTCACTCACTCACTATAATTATATAACAGCAATTCTATTAAATGCATGATCATCAAATCTCTGCTAAAGTCCATTGTACGATTCCGTCGATGTTATACGCAGATGTAACACAAACGTTTTAAACAAACTGGGAGTGTCGGGTGCTGGCAGTAGAGGTTACACTACACCAAATCAGAATCCGTATTTTAACAAGCACTTTTCGTACCGAACCTTCAGTGCAGACTGAATCCTCTAACAGCTGTGATTGGGTGATTTTGAGTACGGTTTTTTTAGGTGTTTTTTTTTTAAAGTACATCCATCCTGTAATTAAAACTGACCATATTTATTAATACTCGGTGCTGTCATTTTTACTGATGACTTACACTGATTGTGACCACAGATAGTTTCAAGCGGTTGACATTTTGTGCGGAGCTGGGGTTGGTCTGTTTAGCTTTCTGTACTGAGAAAGGAACAGTCTGATGTGTTCATATCAAGGTCTTCAGACGAAAGTCTGGAAGACCTACTGTTATTATCCGAATATTATTTTTCTTCTTATTATTATTATTTGTACAAATTTTGTGACAGCTCTCCCCACCTAACCGCTTGGCCGATTTTCGTGAAACTTTCAGGGGTGATAGCCTGTATGCTGAAATTGATACATAGTCGAAAAAATCCCGATTTCCGGCTTCCGCTAAGGGCAGATAACCCCAAATGTCGAAATCTTTCAACCTCAATATCTCAAAAACTATAAGAGATAAATGGACCAAATTTTCACTCAATGTAGACAACACCATTCCCCGTCGATTCAACACATACCGAAAGTTGGCCGGCAGTTCAAAGTTTGCGCTATTTTGAAAAAAACTGATTTTTTTTGCCGATTTTCACGTTTTGACGGTGCCTCTGTTTGAAAATCTTCTTCTCCAGAACGGCATATAGTACAATCGTGTTCGATATATAATTTTAAAGCCCACACTCCGGACTACTTATTTATATTGTTATTGCTTCTTTAAGGCCGGACTATGCACATATGTACATGTAATAGCTGTAGACATCTTGATTTTAAAGAAATATTACTTACTAGATACTACCGCGTCTTTCAGCAATATTCCACCAATATCAGGGTGGTGGACACCAGAAGTGAACTTCACACATTGTACCCATGTGGGAAATCGAACCCGGGCCTTCAACGTGACGAGTGACATGTTTAACACCGCACCTCCAGAGTTGTATAGCTATTTACGAAGGATTATCAAATAGTGATGATATTACATCTTGACTCCATTCAAGATTTGATCATTGCCTAATGCCGGTATCGCATTACAATACGTATTATGTGGTAGGCTATATGAAATACAGCGTACATATTGAACTGAGTGAGGTAAAATGCAATAAAAGGTTACGGGTGTTGCATTAAGTGATCAAATCATGCATCAATAAAAATCTGTTGTACTGTAGCAACAGAGCGAATATCGTCTTAGAAAACCCAAAGAAACTAGATCTTCAGAAAAAAGTATGATCACATCATAACTGTCTTAACAGTAGCATAAAACTATCCAATATAGTTTACTTTTCAGATCAAAAGACACAGTGATAAGGCATGTAAACGTTTAGAGATCAAGAACACTGTGAAGATTCATGACTTTGTCTTGTCCTGGTATTGCATGAACTATTTTTCAAACAACATCAGAAACTCTCAAACGTTTGAAAACATTCAAAATACATAACCAAAACGGTTACAAGTCTTGAAGCTAGCTTTCATACAAAACTATTTATACACAGACATATTGGATGAATTTCAATACCTAATACTCACATTTTGAAAAAGAACATAATTGTAGCTGTCTAAAGATAACATTGTCGTAAACAGGTTGTTAAAAACTAGTACCAATGGTTACAAAGGGACGCCACGTTAATCCAGACATACCTCTCTCTCTTTGAAATCAACCGCAAAATAAATTCTGGATTAACGAGCTTTAGAGTTTGTTCCTTTGCATATACAGCCATTCCAAACAGTCCAGCTCAGGAAGAAGTGTTTCCGGTATAAGAAGGTCCACGGAAAGCACAGCTTGTTGTTGAGAATGTTCTGTGAATATTCCAGAGCAACGATGCCAGTTCAATACAAACGCATGGCGTATGGACGAGGGTTCAATATGGATGTAAATAGTATGGAGGAGGGTTTGGTAGGACCTTCGTGGACATCAGTTTCAAGGGCTTCGTCCTGGGAGGGTCAAGTGTCATGACAGGCATGGGTCTTACGGGCCGAGGACGATGGTGGCGCCGTGGAGGTCTATAGCTTGGCAGCCGTTTCACATTCTTCTCCAAGAGGTTTGATCTTGGGGCCATTGCTGTTGCCGTAACGCCGTAGCAGAAGGCGGCGATGATAGCAAAAGCAACGCCGACCCAGGCTGCTATGTAAGATTCCTTGAATTTTCTTGTGGTAGCCCGCTTCAGCTCACCAGGCCATTTTGAGTAGTATTGTTGGCGATCTGGCAGCTGGTCCTGGACAAGGGTGTCTTGGAGGTAGATGGAACTGTGGAAGAACGCCATTCCAAGAACTACAACGAACGCAGCCACACACACCATGATGGTCGGAATCCACACGTGCGATGTTGGTCTTACTAAACACATGTATAACCCTACTGCATAGCTAACAACGAGTAGAAGCTCCCCCACGAGGAACATAGCCATGAAGGACGTGTATAAGGCTATCATGGAGGTGTACTCCTCGCTAGCACTGGCGGAATCGTCCCCGAACATCAGCATGAAGCAGTTCTTGTCTATAACACCTCCAAGAGTATCCAGAAACAGGGTATCGTTGCCAGGGTAACACTCACGGAACATGCCTCTTTGGCGCGTGTGATAGTATCTCGCTGTGATCCCCGTCGTTGATGACGTTCGCTGCAGGGTCGTCAGCTTCGTCCTGTCGACGCTGTACACCACCCATCTTTCCGTGCCCATGGCAGCAAGGATGAGGACGATGGCGACCACATTGGCGATGGTGCTGAACGTGAGGCAGGCTGTAGTACGTGTCTTCGTCCCCATAGTTAACGTGGAAGTCGTACTGGGTTACTCCGTGTTGATGGGCGTGATGTTACTGAAGCTGCTCGGCCCGCTCTTATCGTGATCTGAAATGGATAGGGTCATGCCCATGAGTAATGACTTTCGTGCATTGTTCACTCCTTCTTTTGAAAAGACTCTTCAGCGTTCAGCCTCCCTTATTACCCGGGGTATATCTCAAAAGTATTTCATGCATTAAGCATTTCTTACGCGTACGTTTCGTCACCAACTTGTCACCAACTAGTAACCAACTTGTTCAATGTAATTGGGGCAGTGAGGTAGTAATGGCATTAAATGCTCCTACTGTTTGTCATATGAAATGGTAGCTTTGCAAATACACGTACACATCGGTTGTGAGACGGTCCCCTTCAGGTATGTCTCGCACCTGTCACACATTGCTGCACAGGAGGTGATCGTGTTCACAGTCAGTGCTGCATATGGAGCAGGCTTGACCGAGCGGAACAGTTTTGTGACGGCGACACATTAAGACTCTACAAGATCACAAGCGTACTGCAAATATCTGATTAGGGTAAATCGCCCATTAATGTTCTCCAATAAACCTTTTAATACCAATTAGTGTCATAATGTCAATTGTGGGTTTTTGTAACTTTAGATTTGACAACAGATATTGAGAGGGAGATAGGAAGAGAGAGAGAGAGTTGGTGTTGGGTAGGTAGGGAGACTGTAGCCTGGGGTCGGGGTCGGGGGTATAGGGTACAACGGGAAAGGAAGGTGATAGTGGGTGTATGAGTGAGTATGGTTTTACGTCGATTCCAAAAATATTCCAGCAATATGACAGCAGGGTCACCAGAAATGGGCTTCACACATTGTACCCATGCGGGAAATCGAACTCGAGTCTTCAGCGTGACGAGCGAACGCTTCCACCACTAGGCTACCCACAGCCCCGGAATATGATAGAGAGACGGGCTGAGGGAGAGCAGGTGAATGCATCAGCTGCAGAGCAGCACAAAATTCAGCAACACCCCATAGGCTATGTAGGGCACCTCGCTGCCCTGACTCTCAGTAGTGACACGAGTATAAGCTCAGGACTAACAATGGACTGTGCGGTATCCAATCCCAGCTCTATGTGCGTTACTATTGTTATCTTTGTCATTGTTGAACTATATTGGATAGTGTCTACGTTTCTGATAAGAAACCCTTGGGTCCTAACTGACTGGATTGGTCCTTAGTGAGGGAGTATGTTTTTACGCCGCATTCACTATAGTCCAGCCTTATCGTTGCGGGCTACGACAGAAACCAGCTCACTAAGTATTTGGTCGATTTGGTACCTGACAGTGAGAATGTAGGTTCGAATCCCGGATAGGACACAACACCTAGCTCCCTACCAAAGTACTAGAATTTGTTACCCGGTTAGAATTGGTCTTCGACATGCTTGTCGTAAGAGGTCACTAACGGGTTCGGGTGGTCAGGCTCGCTGACGTGTCATATCCCAAATGCGTGAACCGATGCTCATGTTGTTCATCACTGGATTGTCTGGTTTAGATCCCCAATCCATAAAACGTTTGTAGCGCTACGACATTCGTAAGCCTATGATAAACTATAGAGTTACGACAGGTCGTAACGTTACGGACGCTTTGTGGATCGGGGCCAAGACTCGATTGTTATATATCTGGAATATAGCTGAATGCGGCGTTAAACAACAATTTAGAAATTACCACTGCACTCACAAATACAGTTGTCACATTTGACCACTTTCTGAAAGACATTGTGTTTTCAGTTGGTTTTCTGATCTCGGGAAAGTGAGTGAGTGAGTGAGTTTAGTTTTACGCCGCACTAAGCAATATTCCAGCTATATGGCGGCAGAGAGGAGATGGCGTAAGTCACGCCTTGAAGTAGACTGTCAGATCACAGGGCTAAGGTCCCACTCATTGCAAGAGTTCATAGATATAAGGATTCAGGAAAGTATTGCAGACTCCAATGTCCTTTACAAATCAAGGTTCTCACTAATGGGAAAAGAAAGGAACTATTCTCTTCCAAACATTGGAAGCTCCACGGCTATTGCCATTGCGTTTTCAGAATTCTTTTGCAATAAAATCGAACGGATCAGAGAAACCTTCGCAAATGTCAACTTTGATGCTGTTGGTGACGAGGATCACAGTGTCTTACCTCATCACAGAAAATGAACTCTTGAAGTTGATCTACAAGGCCAAACCTACATCGTGTTGTCCTTGATCCCATCCCGACTAAAGTTCTATATTGGACATTGCCTTGCCTCACACATAAATAACCCCGCTACAAGCGAATATATACCCCGCTGGGAATGCCGAACCCATTTGGTACTTCGTAATCGTACTTCTCTATCTCGAATAACATTGAATCACGTATGATGTATGGAAATTACCGATCTTTTGCGAATGCAAATCGATGGAAGGGAGATAACTCTAAATTTGTTTTTCTTGTCGTCTTGTCGTCTGGTACTCCACACTATGATCTGATACCCGTGCTTGAAACAGTTCAAACTTACCATTGAGGTATTCGGTAAGATAAATATGTTGTTCACTGGTCCCTCGGCGGCCATGTCGGGTTGATGTACTTTCGGGCTCAGGGAACATAAACAAACATCGAGGGCACATCACCCCATGGTCACCTCGAGACCAGTGAACAACTTATAATATACAACTCAACTTGGTCAAGTGATTGATGCTCACCAGATAAAGCGGCATCAATACGCAGATGACTCACGGTTAACATATTTGATCCTAAACCATTGGTAACCTACAAGATGCCCAGTGGTAACCTACAAAATACCCATTGGTAACCTACAAGATACCCGGTGGTAACCTACAAGATGCCCAGTGGTAACCTACAGGATACCCAGTGGTAACCTACAAGATGCCCAGTGGTAACCTACAAGATGTTAATAAGTCACCTACAAGATACCTAGTGGTAACCTACAAGATGCCCATTGCTAACCTACAAGATAACCATTAGTAACCTACAAGATGCCCAGTGGTAACCTCAAGATACCCAGTGGTAACCTACAAGATGCCCGGTGGTAACCTACAAGATGCCCTGTGGTAACCTACAAGATACCCAGTGGTAACCTACAAGATGTAACCCATACCCAGTAACCTACAAGATGCCCAGTGGTAACCTACAAGATGCCCAGTGGTAACCTACAAGATACCCAGTGGTAACCTACAAGATGCCCAGTGGTAACCTACAAGATGCCCAGTGGTAACCTACAAGATACCCAGTGGTACAAGACCTACAAGTGGTAACCTACAAGCCCAGTGGTAACCTACAAGATGGCCAGTGGTGGTAACCTACAAGATACCCGGTGGTAACCTGTAACCAAGATGCCCAGTGGTAACCTACAAGATACCCAGTGGTAACCTACAAGATGCCCAGTGGTAACCTACAGATGATACCCAGTGGTAACCTACAAGATACCCAGTGGTAACCTACAAGATGCCCAGTGGTAACCTACAAGATACCCATTGGTAACCTACAAGATGCCCAGTGGTAACCTACAAGATACCCAGTGGTAACCTACAAGATGCCCAGTGGTAACCTACAAGATGCCCAGTGGTAACCTACAAGATACCCAGTGGTAACCTACAAGATGCCCAGTGGTAACCTACAAGATGCCCAGTGGTAACCTACAAGATACCCATAAGTCACCTACAAGATACCCAGTGGTAACCTACAAGATGCCTAGAGTGGTAACCTACAAGATGCCCATTGTAACCTACAAGATGCCCCAGATAATACCCCCAGTGGTAACCTACAAGATGCCCAGTGGTAACCTACAAGATACCCAGTGGTAACCTACAAGATGCCCAGTGGTAACCTACAAGATGCCCTGTGGTAACCTACAACATGCCCAGTGATACCCAGTGGTAACCTACAAGATGCCCAGTGGTAACCTACAAGATACCCAGTGGTAACCTACAAGATACCCAGTGGTAACCTACAAGATGCCCATTCGTAACCTACAAGATACCCAGTGGTAACCTACAAGATACCCAGTGGTAACCTACAAGATGCCCTGTGGTAACCCACAAGATACCCAGTGGTAACCTACAAGATGCCCAGTGGTAACCCACAAGATACCCAGTGGCAACCTACAAGATGCCCAGTGGTAACCTACAAGATACCCAGTGGTAACCTACAAGATACCCAGTGGTAACCTACAAGATACCCAGTGGTAACCTACAAGATACCCAGTGGTAACCTAGATACCCAAGATACCCAGTGGTAACCTACAAGATACCCAGTGGTAACCTACAAGATACCCAGTGGTAACCTACAAGATACCCAGTGGTAACCTACAAGATACCCAGTGGTAACCTACAAGATGCCCAGTGGTAACCTACAAGATACCCAGTGGTAACCTACAAGATACCCAGTGGTAACCTACAAGAACCAGTTGTACAAGATACCAGTTGTGGTGGTAACCTACAAGATGCCTACTTTACAAGATAGTGGTAACCTACAAGATACCCAGTGGTAACCTACCCAGTGGTAACCTACAAGATACCCAGTGGTAACCTACAAGATACCCAGTGGTAACCTACAAGATGCCCAGTGGTAACCTACAAGATGCCCAGTGGTAACCTACAAGATACCCAGTGGTAACCTACAAGATACCCAGTGGTAACCTACAAGATACCCAGTGGTAACCTACAAGATACCCAGTGGTAACCTACAAGATACCCAAGATGGTGGTAACCTACAAGATACCCAGTGGTAACCTACAAGATACCCAGTGGTAACCTACAAGATACCCAGTGGTAACCACAAGATACCCAAGATGTGTGGTAACCTACAAGATACCCAGTGGTGGTAACCTACAAGATACCCAGTGGTACAAGAACCTACAAGATACCCAGTGGTAACCTACAAGATACCCAGTGGTAACCTACAAGATACCCAGTGGTAACCTACAAGATACCCAGTGGTAACCTACAAGATACCCAGTGGTAACCTACAAGATACCCAGTGGTAACCTACAAGATGCCCAGTGGTAACCTACAAGATACCCAGTGGTAACCTACAAGAGATGGTAACCCAAGTGGTAACCTACAAGATACCCAGTGGTAACCTACAAGATACCCGGTGGTAACCTACAAGATGCCCAGTGGTAACCTACAAAATAACCTACAAGATACCCAGTGGTAACCTACAAGATGCCCAAGATGTGGTACAAGATGCCCAACCTAGATGCCCAGTGGTAACCTACAAGATACCCAGTGGTAACCTACAAGATGCCCGGTGGTAACCTACAAGATACCCAGTGGTAACCTACAAGATGCCCAGTGGTAACCTACAAGATACCCAGTGGTAACCTACAAGATGCCCAGTGGTAACCTACAAGATACCCAGTGGTAACCTACAAGATGCCCAGTGGTAACCTACAAGATACCCAGTGGTAACCTACAAGATACCCAGTGGTAACCTACAAGATACCCAGTGGTAACCTACAAGATACCCAGTGGTAACCTACAAGATACCCAGTACAAGAGACACAGTGGCAACCTACAAGATACCCAGTTGTAACCTACAAGATACCCATTTGTAACCTACAAGATACCCGGTGGTAACCTACAAGATGCCCTGTGGTAACCCACAAAATATCCAATAGCAACCTACAAGATGCCCTGTGGTAGCCCACAAGATACCCTTTGGTAACCTACAAGATACCCAGTGGTAACCTACAAAGATACCCAGTGGTAACCTACAAGATGTCCAGTGGTAACCTACTAGATACCCAGTGGAAACAACCAAGATATCCAGAGGTAACCTACAAGATGACAAGTGGTAACCTACAAGATGACCAGTGGTAACTTACAAGATACCCAGTGGTAGCCTACAAGATGCCCAGTGGTAACCTACACGATACCCAGTGGTAACCTATAAGATACCCAGTGGTAACCTACAAGATACCCAGTACAAGAGACACAGTGGCAACCTACAAGATACCCAGTTGTAACCTACAAGATACCCATTTGTAACCTACAAGATACCCGGTGGTAACCTACAAGATATCCGGTTGTAACCTACAAGATACCCAGTGGTAACCTACAAGACACCCAGTGGTAACCTACAAGATACCCAGTTGTAACCTGCAAGATACCCATTTGTAACCTACAAGATACCCGGTGGTAACCTACAAGATATCCGGTTGTAACCTACAAGATACCCGGTGGTAACCTACAAGATATCCGGTTGTAACCTACAAGACACTCAGTGGTAACCTACAAGATGGCCAGTGGTAACCTACAAGATATCCGGTTGTAACCTACAAGATACCCAGTTGTAACCTACAAGACACCCAGTGGCAACCTACAAGATACCCAGTTGTAACCTACAAGATACCCAGTTGTAACCTACAAGATACCCATTTGTAACCTACAAGATACCCGGTGGTAACCTACAAGATATCCGGTTGTAACCTACAAGATACCCGGTGGTAACCTACAAGATATCCGGTTGTAACCTACAAGACACCCAGTGGTAACCTACAAGATGGCCAGTGGTAACCTACAAGATACCCAGTGGTAACCTACAAAGATACCCAGTGGTAACCTACAAGATGTCCAGTGGTAACCTACTACATACCCAGTGGAAACAACCAAGATATCCAGAGGTAACCTACAAGATGACAAGTGGTAACCTACAAGATGACCAGTGGTAACTTACAAGATACCCAGTGGTAACCTACAAGATACCCAGTGGTAACCTACAAGATGCCCAGTGGTAACCTACAAGATACCCAGTGGTAACCTACAAGATGCCCAGTGGTAACCTACAAGATGGCCAGTGGTAACCTACAAGATGCCCAGTGGTAACCTACAAGATACCCAGTGGTAACCTACAAAATAATACGATACCCAGTGGTAACCTACAAGATGCCCAGTGGTAACCTACAAGATACCCAGTGGTAACCTACAAGATGCCCAGTGGTGGTAACCTACAAGATGCCCAGTGGTAACCTACAAGATGCCCAGTGGTAACCTACAAGATGCCCAGTGGTAACCTACAAGATACCCAGTGGTAACCTACAAGATGCCCAGTGGTAACCTACAAGATACCCAGTGGTAACCTACAAGATACCCAGTGGTAACCTACAAGATACCCAGTGGTAACCTACAAGATACCCAGTGGTAACCTACAAGATACCCAGTGGTAACCTACAAGATACCCAGTGGTAACCTACAAGATAACAAGACTGCAGTGGTAACCTACCAGATGGTAACCTACAAGATACCCAGTGGTAACCTACAAGATACCCAGTGGTAACCTACAAGATACCCAGGTGGTAACCTACAAGATACCCAGTAACCTACAAGAACCCAGTGGTAACCTACAAGATACCCAGTGGTAACCTACAAGATACCCAGTGGTAATCAAGATAAATTCGGTGGTAACCTACAAGATACCCCCAGTGGTAACCTACAAGATGCCCAGTGGTAACCTACAAGATACCCAGTGGTAACCTACAAGATGCCCAGTGGTAACCTACAAGATACCCAGTGGTAACCTACAAGATACCCAGTGGTAACCTACAAGATACCCAGTGGTAACCTACAAGATACCCAGTGGTAACCTACAAGATACCCAGTGGTAACCTACAAGATACCCTGTGGTAACCTATAAGATACCCAGTGGTAACCTACAAGATACCCAGTGGTAACCTACAAGATACCCAGTGGTAACCTACAAGATACCCAGTGGTAACCTACAAGATACCCAGTGGTAACCTACAAGATACCCAGTGGTAACCTACAAGATACCCAGTGGTAACCTACAAGATACCCAGTGGTAACCTACAAGATGCCCAGTGGTAACCTACAAGATACCCAGTGGTAACCTACAAGATACCCAGTGGTAACCTACAAGATGCCCTGTGGTAACCTACAAGATACCCAGTAGCAACCTACAAGATGCCCTGTGGTAACCTACAAGATATCCTACAAGATGCCCTGTGGTAACCCACAAGATACCCAGTGGTAACCTACAAGATACCCAGTGGTAACCTACAAGATACCCAGTGGTAACCTACAAGATACCCAGTGGTAACCCTACTAGATACCCAGTGGTAACCTACAAAGAACCAAGATATCCAGTGGTAACCTACAATACCCATGCCAAGTGGTAACCTACAAGATGCCCAGTGGTAACTTACAAGATACCCAGTGGTAACCTACAGGATGCCCAGTGGTAACCTACAAGTTGCCCAGTGGTAACCTACAAGATACCCAGTGGTAACCTACAAGATGCCCAGTGGTAACCTACAAGATACCCAGTGGTAACCTACAAGATACCCATTCGTAACCTACAAGATACCCGGTGGTAACCTACAAGATACCCACTGGTAACCTACAAGATACCCAGTGGCAACTTACAAGATACCCAGTGGTAACCTACAAGAAGCAGAAGTCGTGTTTATAGGTGGGAGAGGGTACAAATATATGCGACCTTGTAAAGCGTCATTTAATGAATACCTGTCCGACTGAATGGAAGTCCCTTTTACCATCCATCAAACTATATTAACCCATCTGAAGCTGAAAAATAATACATTTTAAGAAATATCGTTTCCATGAATAGACGCTTACTACAAAATGCACCGTCCCACAAAACAAGACTTTTTGCACGCACCGACGCATTGGCTACCGCCTTAAAGTGAATGAAAATGGGTACCACCCCATTAAATACCGTTAACAGCTCTTACCCGTGGCTTTCGTTACAAACCCGGAGCCTATATAATAGCAGCTAACCACCTTTAAGATCCTGGTTAGAATCTTCAGCAACCCAGGTTTGTTGTAAAAGGCGACTGATGGGATCGGGTGCAGGCTTGCAGACTTGGTACGTATGCCATCGTATCCCAATGCAAAGTTGATGCTTATGATATCGCAATTATGGGTTGGAATATTGTGCGGCGTTAGACAAACTGTTGTCATTTTTATGGCGTCTTGTGACTGATGGCTGTATTAGGACAGGGGCATGCTCGTGGTTGCTGGACGTGTCGTACATCAGTACAGTGCATCGTTCAGTTGTACATCAGTACAGTTGTTGTACATCAGTACAGTGTATCGTTCAGTTGTACATCAGTACAGTACATCGTTCAGTTGTACATGAGTACAGTACATTGTTTAGTTGTACACATACAGTACAGTGTATTACGTTCAGTTGTACATCAGTACAGTACATCGTTCAGTTGTACATGCAGTACAGTACATTGTTTAGTTGTACATGAGTACAGCATACATTGTTCAGTACGGTACATCGTTTGTACGTCAGTACAATCCAGTACAGTACATCGTTCAGTTGTACATCAGTACATTACATCGTTCAGTTGTACATCAGTACAGTGCATAGTTCAGTTTTACATCAGTACAGTGCATCGTTCAGTTGTACATCAGTACAGTGCATCGTTCAGTTGTACATCAGTACAGTTGTTGTACATCAGTACAGTGTATCGTTCAGTTGTACATCAGTACAGTGCATAGTTCAGTTGTACATCCGGTACAGTACATCGTTCAGTTGGCGTACGTCAGTACAATCAGTACAGTACATCGTTCAGTTGTACATCAGTACAGTTGTTGTACATCAGTACATTGCATCGTTCAGTTGTACATCAGTACAGTGCATAGTTCAGTTGTACATCAGTACAGTACATCGTTCAGTTGGCGTACGTCAGTACAATCAGTACAGTACATCGTTCAGTTGTACATCAGTACATTACATCGTTCAGTTGTACATCAGTACAGTGCATAGTTCAGTTTTACATCAGTACAGTGCATCGTTCAGTTGTACATCAGTACAGTTGTTGTACATCAGTACATTGCATCGTTCAGTTGTACATCAGTACAGTTGTTGTACATCAGTACAGTGTATCGTTCAGTTGTACATCAGTACAGTGCATAGTTCAGTTGTACATCAGTACAGTACATCGTTCAGTTGGCGTACGTCAGTACAATCAGTACAGTACATCGTTCAGTTGTACATCAGTACAGTACATCGTTCAGTTGTACATCGTTACAGTACATCGTTCAGATGTACATCAGTATAGTGCATCGTTCAGTTGTACATCAGTACAGTGCATCGTTCAGTTGTACATCAGTACAGTTGTCGTACATCAGTACAGTACATCGTTCAGTTGTAGTACATCAGTAAAATACATCGTTCAGTTGTGGTACATCAGTACAATACATCGTTCAGTTGTACATCAGTACAATACATCGTTCAGTTGTACATCAGTACATAACATCGTTCAGTTGTACATCAGTACAGTTGTTGTACATCAGTACATTGCATCGTTCAGTTGTACATCAGTACAGTGCATAGTTCAGTTTTACACAGTACATCGTTGGCGTACGTTGTATCATACAGTACATCGTTCAGTTGTACATCAGTACATTGCATCGTTCAGTTGTACATCAGTACAGTGCATAGTTCAGTTTTACATCAGTACAGTGCATCGTTCAGTTGTACATCAGTACATTGCATCGTTCAGTTGTACATCAGTACAGTTGTTGTACATCAGTACAGTGCATAGTTCAGTTGTACATCAGTACAGTACATCGTTCAGCTGGCGTACGTCAGTACAATCAGTACAGTACATCGTTCAGTTGTACATCAGTACAGTACATCGTTCAGTTGTACATCGTTACAGTACATCGTTCAGATGTACATCAGTATAGTGCATCGTTCAGTTGTACATCAGTACAGTGCATCGTTCAGTTGTACATCAGCACAGTACATCGTTCAGTTGTACCACAGTACAGCACATCGTTCAGTTGTACATCAGTACAGTGCATCTTTCAGTTGTCGTACATCAGTACAGTGCATCTTTCAGTTGTCGTACATCAGTACAGTACATCGTTCAGTTGTCGTACATCAGTACATTGCATCGTTCAGTTGTACATCAGTACAGTGCATAGTTCAGTTGTACATCAGTACAGTACATCGTTCAGTTGGCGTACGTCAGTACAATCAGTACAGTACATCGTTCAGTTGTACATCAGTACATTACATCGTTCAGTTGTACATCAGTACAGTGCATAGTTCAGTTTTACATCAGTACATTACATCGTTCAGTTGTACATCAGTACATTGCATCGTTCAGTTGTACATCAGTACAGTTGTTGTACATCAGTACAGTGTATCGTTCAGTTGTACATCAGTACAGTGCATAGTTCAGTTGTACATCAGTACAGTACATCGTTCAGTTGGCGTACGTCAGTACAATCAGTACAGTACATCGTTCAGTTGTACATCAGTACAGTACATCGTTCAGTTGTACATCGTTACAGTACATCGTTCAGATGTACATCAGTATAGTGCATCGTTCAGTTGTACATCAGTACAGTGCATCGTTCAGTTGTACATCAGTACATTACATATTTCAGTTGTACATCAGTACAGTACATCGTTCAGTTGTACATCAGCACAGTACATCGTTCAGTTGTACCACAGTACAGTACATCGTTCAGTTGTACATCAGTACAGTGCATCTTTCAGTTGTCGTACATCAGTACAGTGCATCTTTCAGTTGTCGTACATCAGTACAGTACATCGTTCAGTTGTCGTACATCAGTACATTACATCGTTCAGTTGTACATCAGTACAGTACATCGTTCAGTTGTAGTACATCAGTAAAATACATCGTTCAGTTGTAGTACATCAGTACAATACATCGTTCAGTTGTGGGGTCAGAGACCCGGGTCCGATTCCCCACATGGGTACAATGTGTGAAGCCCATTTCTGGTGTCCCCCGCCGTGATATTGCTGTAATATCGCAAAACGCGGCGTAAAAGTAAACTTCCTGTCTCACTTTTTCAGTTGTCCCCACCCGAATGACAGTGGTTGTTGGGGAATTTGCCTAGATGCCAAGTGCTGACTTGACTTCATCATATTTGATGAATATTCGCCATGCATTCCTCTTTCCCTGTCCACACGCTGTTTGTGATGTCTCACATGTCTGAGCTGAGTGCCCTATCTATTTCAGACTATTTCTCTCCATCGCCACTATTCATAACAAACGTCAACTAACATTAGTTAAAATAGTCACGCCCCAACAAAGACATTCATGGTAAAAACGTGTCAACATACCACTTTATTCTCGACATACGTCATTGTGGGGGCGGTGGGGCAGCCTTGTGTTTAAAATAGTAGCTGCTCACGGTGAACACCCGGCTTCAATTCCCAATACAGGTATGTATGTGTGAAGCCCATTTCTGGTGTCCCCCGCCGTGATTTTGCCGGAATATTGCTAAAAGCAGCGTAAAACTAAACTCACTCATTCACTCACCGGCATCTGGTTCCCTCGGTATACTGCTCCTTCTCTATTAAACGACCATTGAAACTCTCGTGAAAACGGGTGACAAAACTGTGCCCACAAAACCCCCACCCCACCCCCGTATTTCTCAAATCGCTGCATCCGTCTTTGCTACCTTAGAACACGAATGTACGAACATCGGGACTCAACAGGAATGTTGAGGTCAAATTCCACGTGTTACAACATAATTGAGTTATCCGAGTCATTTTAAAGGAGATAAGTAAAAATACAAAACTGGCCAAATATCCCGTCATGCTCAATGTTCAAATTGATGGGGATTCCCGAATACCTATATATAGACACACGTCTTCAAACAACCAGCTCTATCTGTGAATGCTCTAACGGTAGGTGGACTCTTAACGCTCTCTTTCTTGTTACTGATAGGGTTCACATTTCAAAAGAATGTTTTGAAAACACTGAAAATGTTACATGGACGAACATATTTGACACTGTATAAAGGACCACATCGCGGATCTCGGCTCGGTGGGAGAGGTGGGTAGGTATAGGCTAGTAGGTGGGAAGGTAGGTAGGGGCGTGTGTGTGTGTGGGTGTGTGTGGGTGTGTGTTGTTGGTGTGTGTGTGTGTGTGTGTGTGTGTATGGTTGTATGTATGTATGTATGTACATGTATGTATGCAGGTAGGTAGGTAGGTAGGTAGGTAGCCTAGGTAGGTAGGTTGGCTATAGGTTTGGGAGATAGTTTAATCCCAGGATCCGGTTGTATCATTGCTTCATTAACTAATGTCAACATTAAACCCTAATGATACATTAAATCCTTAATGCATCATTAGTTAATGGCATCATTAAAAACGGTTGTATCAAACACTTATTAGCGTATCATTATCTAATGACGTCCTAATGTAAATATGTTCATTAAATCCGGGGATTCCCCTATTTTTTTCCCACAATTCCGCGCTGTAAACATGTAAGTGTTACTCTCGGTCGTCTGTCAAAATGGCATCTTTAGGGCTAAACCCCTCGGAACAAAAACAAAAATTTCGACTGCTGTGAAGAAACACGTCTAAATAATTCTGAAACGTCGCCGATAAACCTAGAATCGGTTGGGATGTTTTGGAAAATACACGAACACGAACGCCGAAGTGAGCTTTACGCCATATTGGATAGTGTTTACAAAATCAAGTTTCGCTAAGGCCAGTCATAGGACGCCTATTACATCATGTATATTTCATATTCAGTTGTGACAAATGCATCGCTGACTTTCTCATACATTTTAGAATCAAATTCCAAATGGTCTTTGTCACTAAAACCAAGTGTCTAAGAAAAAGCGAAACATATTGGGTGTGAAAACGGGACGTTGTGCTCATTACACAGCGCTTGCTAGAAATATAAACAAAGTAAAAATCAGATTTTATACTGCGCAGCATTTTCTCAATTTTTTAGACATCAGTTTGTCTACTCGTAGCATGCATGAGGTCAATATTTTTAGAAAATGCACCGAAAGAGTATCGTAGCAAGAACTAGAAAACTTAAAACAGATACAATACTGAAATTTGATATATTCATACG